TACCGGTATCGTGGAATGGCTGTTTTCGGGGCTTTGGCGCTGTCTCCGGGTTCCTGCGGTTCACTTAGCTATCGTTGGAGCAGTGCCGTAGGTCGGCAAGTTGCCGGTGGTAGAGTACGGGTAGAGTAAATCAATACGAGCACAGAAGCCCAGCGATACTGAATGCCGTACCTCAGCTACCGCATTCTTCAGCTCCCCCTCTTTCCCGTACTCGCGCTCTCCCATCTACAAAGCACATATCACACTGTGTTGCAAGATGCCATACTCTATATTATGGAGGAATATGAAGCCGCCGCACTCTATTCGTACTCCGGCAACTCTGCTCCCGGGGAATAGCAAATGGGGTTCAGGCTACTCGTACATATGCACGAGGCAGTGTGGGTCACCCTTCAAAAGCCTGAATGCGGGACTGAGTACCGGTAGAGTGGAGTACTCGTACCGTACTGTACCATTCCAGTCGGACAAAAAGGAAATAGCGGTAGGGTCGAAGCCTCAAAATCTTCCACCGCTTCTCCTCCTTGTGCTGCGGCTGGGGGGTAATGGAGGGAAGCGGACACAATACCGAAAATGCCTGAACCGCTTCCCACGTTTTCTCATGGTCACTCCGGGGAGTTGGTGCCCGATTGCGTGAATGTTGCATCTAACGGAGTGGCGACTCATTATACCGCTGTGTGCGACATGGTGGGGGATGATGGATGAAAAGGAAAAAAAAAGCACAAGTACGAGTACAGTATGGCAGAGGAACTGGGCACTCGTACCGGCAGTCTACAGTACCCTATTTTTGCACACTATTGGAGGAGCGGTATGAGTCAATGTACTCGAGTATAGGTTTACTCTTGAAGGGACAGCTATAGTACCGGTATCCCACTCGCTAATTCTTTCCAATACCGGTACTGGATCATCTCTATCCATACTACATAGGCACTGTACTGTACAAGTACAGTGCTGCAGTCGGGAGGTCCTGAATTTCAGACTTGAACGTTGCCCTGTGTGATGCGGCAGCCGGTAACAAGAGGTTCGGCACCCTGGCTTCGGCGCACGTGATAGGTTTACCGCCGTCCACAAGGCTCACCTACCGCTAACCTATATAGGATCATTCTAGCCCAATCAGCCGCTTTGTTCGCATTGTTCGCATTCTCAGCTTCACACAAATTCGCACCAATCTGTGCCTTCGAGTACGGCGCTCGAGTACCGGTATGACATACCATTGTTCTGCTACACCTGCTGCCGCCATGTAACTCCAGCCGGATCTCCACCTTGAATTGGACTCCTGCTTTCCCTCCCTTCTGCTAGGGGGGAGGGGGGGGTAGAAGGTTTTGAGGGGATATCCTCCTCTTCCCTCATCCACACATAGGCACAGCACCCGTACCACCCACCGCAGCGGATCCAATGTCTTGATCCGTGGTAACAGAGGTTCCCCTGATTCCTTTTTCTCTTCTTTTTGACTTCCTTCTCGTGGTTTCCCCTCTTCCTCCTTCCTCCCCGCCTCCGTTTCTTTTTCCGCTTCTTCCTTTCTTTTTTTACTTCCTTTTTACATTGTGTCTCGCATTCACCCTTTTTTGCTTATTCGGGTCAGTTCCGATTCCCCGTATCATTACCTACGGTATCATACCGGGATCACATCACATCTCGGGTGTCGGAATACCAATTGTCGGCAGGATACTACCGATAGCGGGTGATGATTTACCTGGCGTCAACGAGATGGCAGGTCAAAGTTTTGGTTTTTTTTTTTCTTTCCTCCCTTCTTTCTTACGCTCCTTTCCTTCCATACCGAAATAGGTTACCGGGCGGAGATACCGGTGTCGCTCTTGCAGCAATACCGGTATTTATGCAGTGTCATATCGTAGCATAACTACGGTACGAGTACTCGAGTAAATTTACTATATATCCAGGCGCGCGATAGCTTGAGGAAGGGATTTTTGGCACGCATAATATTATCTATGGTTTAGCCAGCTACCAGTAATGGTATCCCTTCGTTCGTTCCCGAGTTTCACCACCTTTTAGTGCGCACTCAGGACAGGATCGGCAGCCTGCTAAACATATGCCGTAATGCTTGCCACCCCCTCGATTGACCAAGAACTACGGTAATCCTGAGCTAACTCTGCTAGATGCCCTAAATTCCCCTATGTGAAGATATCATACAAGCAAGTACTACTAGTACTACAGGTATGCACCGGTACCCACATCCCCACTTCCATTACTCGTACTGGCATCCAGACCCGCACTACTCGTACGAGCACGGCCAAGTGTAATTCCATCTTATATTTAATTTTGAATCAATGTGCGTCCACATTTCTCCCTAGACGAACGAGCACAAAGGAAATGTTATGCATAGCGCGATGGCCCAATTTTTGGCAGATGTCTTTTTCTTACCTCTTTCTCACTCATCCTCACCACTCCACACACCCCTTCCGCGCCAGGGCAATTTTCCAGTCGTGACGAGAATTTTGCCATGGCTTTTTCCTTCCTTTTTCTTTTCTGATGCGGGAAGTTCTCGGGCACGAGATAGATAGGTGATACGCACGGTGCCCCAGGCCCCATTTTATGATACCGGTATCATACTCGACAGAGTGATCAGTCTGCGAGAGGGAGGGGAGAGGAAGGGGGAAGGGAGAGGGAAGGGAGAGCCAGCAATTGTGAAGAGAGGGGAGGGAAGGAAGAGGAATACGGTAGTTTGTTGATCAGGGTAGAGAGGAATACCGGTACGGTACGTATACTGTATATGGCAGGCTTTTGATAGCTCTCTGGATTCCTTCCTTTTCTTTCCTTCTTGCCCCTGGCAGTTTTTTTTCTTTTTTCTTTTTTTTCCTTCCCCCGGCATGGAAGGAAAAGGAAGTACGGCAGCAAAAGTACGGTACAGTTCGGTGACAATGTTCATCGTCGGCGGCAGAGCAACGGCACTCGCCTGCTTAAAACCCCTTAAACATCAACCTCCCATACAACCTTGCAGCAAATGTGTCTACCATTGTACGAGCAGAACTTTGTAGAATAGGTACCGGCACTCGTATAATAAGGTAAATAAATACAAATGATCAATTTAACATTCAGCATGCCACCATTTTGCCTTAGTAATCAGTTCAATCCTCCCAGGGGTACCTTCTGTCAGCCTTTCAAATAAAGATTCTGGTATGATACCTGCACAGTACATGTACTAGTACTCGAGTATCAACTCCCAGCAATGAATAAAGGTTTCCTTGATATGTGGCTCTGCCTTGTTTTCCGATCATGACTCCACCTTGATGAGAGCAGTGTTTGTGGCAATGCCTATTAAGATGCACCCAACCACGTTCAATGGCATTGAGATCTTGTGGATATGGTGGCCAATCCTCCGAAACCTTCACATTATCCTCCTCCAACCACACCAGGCGGGACTCTGTGTTGCACGAGATATTTGGATTGGGTGCGAGATCTCAGCAAAGCTCATCCCTACCTCCATTGTTCCTATAGCCCTATTCTGCGGATATAGGCCATTATTTTCTTTTTTTCTATATATCGACGTGCTTGGGAGGGAATATGTGAAGGAGACATCACCGAGGTTGTCACCTTCGGCCACGAACCATGGAAGCAGAAGCACCACGGCCGCCCACACCTTTGGGGCAGGCATTCGCTTTCTCCTCTGCTTCCTCTTCTTCATCATGACACCGATGCGGTAAAATTAACTTACTTTGTAGAGTAGTAGTAAGACGGCTACCGGTGCTGTGCTGATATTGTGCTATCATGCCTGCAGGTGGTTTTAGCTGACCTCTAAATCCGCATGCTACTTGTACTAGTACAGTACAAGCAGAGTGCCCTGGGTAAAGGGTCCTTCCCAACTACCCCATTGATTACATATCCGATCATTTTCCCCCTTCTCTTTTCCTTCCTGCTCCGTCTTTGATGTCAAGGTGAAAACGCTACTGTGAGAGAGGGAAGTAAGGCCAGCACTCAGTCACTCAGTCCCCTCCACCTCATCTCTCATATTTTCCCCTTCATTGTGAAGGAGAAGAGAACTTATTCACACATCACGACCTGCAGGTAACTTTTTTTCTCTCTTTCTTTTCTTTTTTCCGATCACCTCCCCAACTTTCTGTCCCTTTCCAAGCCTTTTTTTCCTTTTGGCGGGCCTCTCTATATCTGGCATCCTATTCCCCCTGCCCCCCTTCTCACTCCTGTCTGGTGCTCGGTATCAGTGGAAAAGATTGATACTGTAATTCCCACCATCGTCGTCTTGCCGTCGTGGTCGTGGTTGTCTTCGTCTTCGTGTTAAGGTACGAGTAGTCCTCCCCCTCCCTCCCCTTGCTCCATTCTTTCCACTAGTCTACATTCTTCTTCCTCCCGTCCTCCCCCTTACTTCTGTCCCTTACCTCCCCCCCCAATCGAAGACCATTTAACGTTCTCTCCGCGTATTCCGCCGCGGTTTCCTATCTTTCCGTCGTTCTCACTCCTGTTCCCAATATAGACCATACTAATTCCTGGCAAGGAGACGCCTTGCTAACCGGTCACCAATAAATTTACACAGGGAACACGGGAAAGGAAAAGAGAAGGAACAAAAGGGTTGATTTTTTCCGGGTCCCGCCACACGGGATCCTAACCCCACAAGCTCAACGTTTCGCTCACTCGTTCAACTCAATTCACCTTCCACACCACTACCGGTATTCATACACCCACACCCACACCACGCACCCCTCGCTACAGCTTTCTCCAAGACATTTCCATTCCATACAAAGAATTCCTCGAAAATCCCACGCAACAAAACCCAGGCGGTTCCTGACTTTCCCTTCTCCACCTTATTCCTCACAACCTTCTCTCAGCCCCCGCTTTCGAGAAAGAAGCTGCGCGATAATTAATCAAGATATTTCGAACGAAATGGAGGGCTGGCTCCAGGTGCCACCAGAGCGGAATCTAATGGGTCGTGCCCTATGGAAGGTATGTGGTAATCTCAAACCCTATAATAAATCCTTACCGCCTACCCTTCTCGTCCGTGCATGCGTACACGCAAAATCATTAGCAATCAATTATACATGTTTTTTTTTTCCCCTTCCAAAACCTCAAACATAATCTCCTTCTTCTTTAACTCCCATATCTATGTCCCGGAACCCCCGAACCAAAACCCAACCCAAATACAAAATGCTGACCGCGTCTTCGTGCGACGATAGGTCAGGTACGTGAGATTCGGACCCAATTCTTCCACCGCCTCAACAAAATCCGCTACATCTCCCACCCGGCCGTCCGCAGCTGCGGGCGCGGGTGCGATTGTAGGTTTAGGTGCGCCATCGCTTGCAGTTGGCGGTAGCAATAGCAGCGGCGCGGGGGGGAAAGGGACGTACAGTTCAGAGTGGAAGTCGCACTTCACGGGGTCGAATGTAGCTGGTAGTGGTAATGGTGTTGGTGAAGAGTCGGGCCAGTTGCCGATTTACCTGTCAATATACAAGCAGAAGGTGAATTCACATGACCTATTTCCGGGATCCCCCGCCTAGGAACGTATTGCTGATATGCAACTTGATAACGACCAGAACGATGTGGAGCCCGTAGTGCGATACCCGTAAGTTTTATTATTTCCTATTTTTTCTTTATATTGGTATAATATTATTTTTTTCTTTTTCTTTCGAGAATTAGCACTAATATTCTTCGTTTTCGCTCTAGGTTATCTTCAATCGCATCTTGCTATATCGGCGACGTAGCCGGGAGACACAAGAAAAAGTCCGTAGTCCTACCCACGCTAGTAGTCAACCTTCGTACCGAACCAGCTCTGTCATCATCCCGCTCATTTCGGCGGCGAAGCCATGACATGCCGCCAAAAGATAGCGTGAAGAGGGAATCGCCAGGAAAGGAAACGCTGCTCTTCAGACCGGGGTCGGAGGCCAATTCGCTGGAAAGATGGGCGCGGGAAATTCAATCCTATTTAATACCTAGTTCATCACACTCCAACGCAACGGTGAACACTCTGGAATCTGCCTTCCGGGAGAAATTCAGCGACCCCGATGACATACCCGGTTCATCGTCGTCACTGTTCATCATTAACGGCGAGCCGACCACAGCATTGCTTAGTCCCTCACTGCGCTCGATGGCTAGTAACTTGTCAAGCATAGATTCGGATGATAACGGCAGTCTGCTAAGTAGCCCAGCGTCGGAAATGAACTCACCAAAAGACCTGGATAGGGCGGACCGACGGCCGAGTCTGCACATCGCGACCAAGCTCCGAAACTACATGGGCCCCGCGTCGCCCGCATCGCCCGCATCACCCGACATCGCCAACACTAACGGCTTCCCTAGCATGCACACAGCATCCCTAAACCCCACCCGCACCACCTCTCCCACCGCCGATCCGGTACCCGCTCGCCGCGAGACCATCCTGGACCGGTTTTTCTCGACAGCCCCGTCCAGCCCATCGACGACCTCGGCCCCAGTTCCCATGAACTCAATAGCCCGCTTCGAGGCACTAATAGAAGACATGGAATCCGGCGAGCTCCGCGCCCGCGACGAATCCCTGAGCATAAGAAACCACCCTCGCCGAATCCCGAGCCCGACCCAACGCGCACTTGAATACGTCTCAACTGGCTACCTGGACGAACCCTCCCCCTCCCCTCCTTCTTCACTTTCATCATCAACTAGCACCATGGACCCCGTCGACACGACCCACCTCTCCCCGGATGACCCCCGGCTCCCTTCCCCCCTAACGGAATCCCTCGGCCTAACCCTCTCGCGCCAGCCTTCGGAAGCCTCTCTGGGCACAACGACCAGCGTCACGAACTCGCAGGCGGAGACTCAATCGCAGTCGCTCGGTGTGTCGAATAGCAAGCGCCACTCGCTCGCCGAGTTTTCCATGGTGCGAATCGCCACGCCGCCGCTTTTTCAGATCGCAGGGTCGAGGAGGGGATCGCATTCTGATATACCGAGGACGTCGGAGTCGTATGATGATGGGCCGGCGCCCCTTGCCACCCCGAATTTCTCGTCGCATCCCAGGATTGCCAGGGCGCTATTTGGAGGGTTTTCGTTTTGAGTGCGGGGGGCTCTGGATTGGGTGTTTTTTTTGTTCTTTTCAGTGTATGTGTAGGGTATTGGGGGGAATAGGGGAGGTGATGAGGTGAAGGTTTTTTTTTTGTTATTCCGGCGTTGAATTTTATGTTTTTGTTAATTCATTGAGCGGGGTCGCGTCATGTTTTATTCTGTCTGATGGAGATGAGATGGCAATCCTTTTCTTATCACTTTTCCTCCCTTTCCCCCCACCGAGGGAGAGGCAAGGGAGGTACTGTTGGACCATCATGTTGACTTACTACTGGTCTAGTTTGTCATGTCCAGTGGTTTCTCACCCCTCTCTCGGACCTTTGTTTACTATTCTCTCCTATCTCCTCTCTTGAGGCATGGCCCATATTCTTGTACAGTATCTTTTTCTTTTTTCTTTTTCTTTTTTCCTTGCTATTCTGTTTAGCGAGCGAGTGATAGTAGAAGACTGAACGGCTCGGGCCGAGATGGGGGGTGCTTGGTATGATAGTATGGTAGCAAAGCGTAGTATAACAGACAGGCGCGAGGAAGCAGCAAGCGAACAAGCAAGCGAGAAATGTAGCATAGACTAACAAATAATACCATACCATTATCAATAGTTCACTCTCCGTCTCTTGGTTGATATGCAAAAGCTGCGAAGCCCAGTAGGCCTGTCAATTTCAAACCCTGATACCGCCTCAACAGCAAACCCTAAACTTCTGCCCGAGAAAAACAATAACCTTCCCCCTTGCGGCTATTGTATGATATCGTATCATAGCATCATAGGATTAACGCGCCCCGTACGCTTCAGGGGCTTAAACTTTCACGACGGATCTGTCTGGCCGTCGCGCTTACACTCAACGCTAGGGTAGGAAGAGCCATAGGTTCCAGTGTTGGAGTGGAATAGGGACTACGAGTAGCCAACCCCCCGGGGCGGCATAAGGAAGGAAAGAAAGCAAGGGATAGGTGTATCATGCATGGAAGTTTGGGGTGCGTGTGCATGTGCGTCCGTGTGGGTGTGCGGGTGTTGGGGGTGGGGGAATTGGAACGGATATAGATATGATACCACCACCTTCCTTCGCTCCATCGCACATTTTCCAATCCGATCCCACTCCGCTCGTGCAGATTTAATAACCGCCCTTCCCCCGAGTAGGGCGGTAACGGTACGGTATATAATTTTGCTAGCAGCCCGCCCGTCCCCGCTTCGTAGCAGTGCACTTGGCTGCGACTTATATCACTGTGCGAGCCCCCCCCCCGCTCTGATTGGATTTACCAGGGCGCCGGCCCATGGGGAATCGCCTAACAGAATTTGGGCTGTATGTCCGGAGCGTTGGTTTGGTGGTGGTGTGCGAGGGTATATAAGTTGGTTCCGCGATCATATATACCTACCCGCCGGTCGGTCGGTATCGTATGGTATGATACGGTCGTACTAGTGTGCCGTACCGCGCCTCGGAGATGCCGATAGTCATTCACGTCGACGCTAGCGCGCAACAGCGCCCCATTTCGTTACGTTACGGTCCCTCTAGCGCCCGTCGGGTAAGCCGAGCACTGTGCACTGCCAAAATTTCCCACGTCACGGCTCCCTTCCCCCTCCCTTCCTTCCTTCACCACTCCGCACACGCCGATAGACCCCGGGAAAGAGCACTCACAATGCGGGAATGGATTATCCTCCCCCCACTTCCATCCCTTCCGTCGTTCGATACACAACCAGAGACCCAAGACTATCGAGTGATAATTCATGACGCCTCATACGGCTTATGGCTAGTTATCGTGCGGTGCGGCGTGTAGGTGTGTGGTGTGTAGTGGGTGAGTGGGGTGGGTATGTAGGGTGGGTGGGTGGGCACGGCACTCTACTCGTCGCATGGAGGCGCGCATGCGAGTGTGAGTATGTCGTGCTGCTTACTTACTCGTGAACTGGCCGGTGGAATATTTACCGTACCGTTACCGGAGGAAGCTATCGCGGGTGTCGGGAGAGGATTTGCGGGAAATGGTGGAGTTGGGTAGGGGAAGTTGTACAAGTATGCCAAACTCGTTACTTGTAGAGGTTATGGCGTAATGGTGGTGGGGTGGTGAGTGGTGGGGTTGGTACGGTATTCGGTTGATGATGATCATATGGAGGGGAGGGGGGGGGAGGAGTAACTGCCGGTTCATCATCATGTTCACTTTTTGATCATGTATGATTGTGAGATTGTGAGATTGTGATTATGTCGGTGGGGTGTGTGGGGGAATGTTTTTTTTTTTTTTTTTTTATTAAATCTTTTTTCTTTTCTTTTCTTTTTTGTTTCATCTAGATTATTTGGGGATGTTGCGTCCGGGTTTTTGGGCTGTAATGTATGAGAGATAGTTGGTAGGTTATGTGCGGTGGTTGGGATAGATAGAATCATTGTCGGGGATCTGCTGTCCTGTAGCTCAGTGCAGTGGACTGTACTGTACTATGCTTTACTGGATTGAACTGGACTGTTACGATAATACAATACCGTTCATTCCTCCTCCCTTTATCCACCCCTCCACCTCCTCCGTCACCAGGACGTGTGTAGTGGCAGTACTGTACCGCAGTAATCTATCCCCCTCCCTCCAAACCTTAATCCTGAAAAATAAAATAAAAATACCACAAAACTCACCCCGTGAAATGAAAAGCCAAACCAAAACTCCTCCTTTCCTCCCAGAAATAAAATGAGGATAAAGAACATATTATAATAAAGAACTATCATTTCAAACCTTGACCGAATCAAAAACCAAAGACAGAACATACTTACCCCCCCCCACCTAGCCGTCCTTTTCTCCCTTCCATAATCCTTCCCCACCCGGCCAGCACGTCTCAACCTCTCAAGGGAAACTCCCACCTCTACCACCACCCCCTCTCCCTATTCCTCCTCCTCTCCCGCTCCTCGCATCCAAGTCTCAAATGCCACTCCACCGTGAATCCAAACACGTCCGGAACATTCTCGTCGGCCCCCAACTCCCTCAGCAACCCAAACATCCCCTTATCCCTTCTCTCCAGCGCCATGTGCAGCGGCGTGAGGGCCTGTCTCCCCCGCTGCTTGCAATCGATGTTCGCACCCGCCCCGACGAGCATGCACACGAGGTCCCGGTTGCCCGTGCTCACGGCCATGTGCAGCGGCGTGCGGCCGTCCCAGGCGGGCACGTCGACGTGGGATTTGCCGAGGGGGTGGGAGAGGAGTTGGTGGAGGAGGCGGGTGGATTGGTGCTTTATGGATAGGTGGAGGGGTGTATGGCCCGTCCTGGGGTTCTGGAGGAGGGGTGGGTTTGGGAGGAGGTAGAGGAGTTCATGTTCTAGTTCCCTCTCCCGCTCCCGGTCTGGGCGTGGGCATGGGGATTGGTCCCCCGATAAGGGCGGTGGTGATGGGGATTGGGGCTGGGATTGGGATGATGGGGGAGGCGATAGGGATGGGTTGATGGGCGGGGAAGGGATCAAACGTCCGTTCATGAGGATGCTGAAGTGCCGGGATGCGAGTATGGTTCGGAGCAGTTGACGCTGAGCGTACATCGCCGACCAGGTCAGTGCGAGGAGTAAATGCTTTTCGCTGTTCGCCGCGTGTTTGTATGTCTGGCTGCTAAGCACGGCGGTTAGGAGGGGGTGTGTGCGGATAAGCGAGTTGAGGTCACCCAGTGAGAGGTCTTGCGCGACCATTAACAGGAGTTCGTTTGGTAGGTGAAGGAGTCCCATTCTGGCTTTTTATTCTTCTATTTTTTACTTTCTTTTTATCCTTCTTCCTCTCCCCCCGATGGATGAATCGACGAACAAACGAACGAACAAATGGATGAATGGATTGACGAATGGATGGATGTCGTGGTGATTGATGGAGTTGAGGTTCAAAGCTGGGGAGGAATGGAATGGAATGGAATGTAAAGGGAAGGAAGGGGAGGGGGGAGGGGGGAGGAGGAGGTTTGAGGGGAAAAGATTTGTTTTTGTTATTTATGCCTGCTACACTCAAGCCTAATCGGAATCTGAAAAGGTTGCCTGGGGAAGACCCTTTCCCTTTTCCCTGTTCCCTCCTCCCTTTTTCTTTTTCTTTTTTCCTTTTTTCCCCTTTCCTTCTTCCCTTTTTCTTTTTTGTGGGGTGTAATGTGCGAGAGCGGGCGGGTGGTGCTGGTTGTATGCTGGGATATGGGATCTTCTTTCGACAATCCCGATAGGAAGGAAAGAGGTGAGAGAGGAAAGTCCAGTAGGTAAGGGATTGAGGGAAGAAAAGAGGGGGGGGGGGAGGAAGCAGGACAGGCATTTGGGCTTTGTTATCCTGCCGTATCCTTCCCCACCCGCCCTATTACAGGCCGCCGCACTTTTTAGCTGTAGGGTAGGGCACTGCATTATATAAGTCAAAGTGAAGTGATCCATGCGGAACCGTGGAGCTGTTTATGTACTCCAGCCAAATGGCTGAGTCAGAAACTTTCTAATGGGTTCCCTAAGCTGGGCTAAAATGGGCTCTGGTTGACTGATCTATCAATTGATCGATAGAGTGGGGAGGAGTTCGGAACTGCGTGTGGATGGGTGGACATCCAAAACATATATGATATTATATTACATGTCCGGCTTCGACAGACCGTCTGCCCAACCGACGAATGGCGGTCGAGGATGATGAGTGGAAAAACGATTTAAACAATACCATATTATTATTTGAAGCCAAACCACCGTGACCTCCTTCCCCCTCGCAGCCAAGTATGGTAGGGGGGGGTATACAGTACTACCCACCTGCCCACCTAGATCCACGGTAGCCACCATCCACCCATAAATCCTACACCCCACCAACCCCGTCCCTGAAAATCTCCCCTCCCCAGGAACCAAGAAACAAACCCCAGCGAAAACAAACCAATAAGCCCCAGCCAGACCACTCCATTACAGCACTTGCTGGCACGGCACCTATTGCTGTAAGCCCTCTAAGCGCTTGATAACAACAACAACAAGCCTTAATCATCCATCCCCCCCGCTGCCCCACCCCTCACAGCCTCTCACTCGATTAACTGACACCTCGCCGTTTCGCCAAGAATGCCACGCTATACCCCATTCGCCCGTTTCCCGCTTTCGTTTCCCGCCCGCGGGTTGCAGGTTGCTGCAAGCCACCAACTTGGAACAAGCACTGGGCCGGAACTGTAGAGTGACTGGTCGGGAGGAGGGTAGGGATTTCATGTCAGTTTTATCCTTTTGTTTTTTTTTGTTTTTTTTTCTCCATGATATATACCTTGTCGGAGAATAATATCGTCGCGAGAAGCGGAATGGGCGAAAGGGGGCGGGGGGGTGATGGTAGAGGAAGGTGGAGAGTACCGGTGGAGAGGAAAAATAAGGAGTGGCCCATGCACTCCCCTGGATCGAGAAGATGGAAGGGAGGGTTTACCCTGGGGCGGTACTGTACATTTGATTGGTTGGACGGGATGGCATTCGTGAATTGTGTTGGACGGGGGCGCCTCTCGCGTTATCCGACTTCCCCGGAGCCGAGGCTGTGCGCATGTGCCGCAGAGCCTCTGTAGATCGTGTTTGGCAGATACCGGTACTCGTAGGGTATGATACCATAACTTTCCTACAGAACCGGGACCAAAGCATCCATCATACCTCGCAAACTTACTGCTACACCTCAAAATGGTCATAAAAGCTTGTATCTTCGACATTGGCGGAGTCTGCGTACGCCCCCCTTCCCTCCAATTCCCTCCCCTTCATAGCCAACGAGTAAAAAAAAAAAAAAAAACAGGTCCTCTCGCCCCTTCATGCGATCCGAGCCTACGAGACGGAAAACTCCATTCCAAGCGGCTACATCTCCTACGCGATCGTGGCCTCCTCGCCATCGGGCTCCTGGGATAGACTCGAGCGGGGCGAGATCCCGATGGACAGCACCTTCTACACCGGCCTCACCTCGGACCTAACAAGCCCCGAAACCTGGAGCTCCTTCCTCCGCTCTCGCAACCTCCCCTCGGGGGCGGCGAGCCCGCTACCGCACATAGACGGCGAAACCCTCTTCCGGCGGATGATGACCGAGTCCCGTGCTCCGAACCCGCCCGTCATCGCCGCGATAGGCAAGCTGCGTGCGACGGGACGGTACAAGCTCGCGGCGCTCACGAACGACTACCAGTTCCCATCAGGCCACCCGTTCGCGGACAATTTGGGATTGAGGGGATTGTTCGATGTGTTCGTCTCGAGCAATGAATGCAGAATGAGGAAACCCGAGCGGGGGATTTATCGGCTCGTGCTTGAGCGGCTCAACGTTGCTCCGGGGGAGGCAGTGTTTCTGGATGACCTGGGGCTGAATTTGAAGGCTGCGAGGGAGTTGGGGATTATTACGGTTCGCGTGCCGCTCGAGGAGACGTGGAGGGCTGTCAGGGAGTTGGAAGGGGTGCTCGGTGAGAAGTTGTTGGATGAGGAGGATGAAGACCTGGCCGGTGGAAAGGCGAGATTGTAGTCTTTGTCCTTTTTTTTTTTTTTTTCAGGAAGGAGGATCGACTGATACCCATATTATACCCAACGAAATTTTGTAGATTCCAAGTAGAATAGCCATGACTTAACTTGCCACCCCGGTTCACTGCCAGTCACTCGGGGGGGGCTACCATGAGTTACCATAGAAACAAATATACACAAAAGCTCAGACCCCCGGAGATATAGTATCATATCACGGCATCCTAGCGCCCAACGTCACAGATAACATTACCGCCTATGATACCTGCCTCACATCTCCTCTTCCCCCCCCCCTCGCACAACCCCAAGAAAAAGGCGCACCCAGATGACCAAATCGTATCCGTATTCATATCATACTGTACCCCTCCCCCGTAATCTTAGGGCGTTAATCTTATCCTCGGTACCACCGAGACCTGTTGCGCTACTTTGATTGCGAGTAATCACCCGCCCACTGCACCCCGCCACAAAACTACTGTCGGCAGCTGATTCAATTTCTGTCTTTTTCACTCGGCTCCCATGAATATCCCACACACACACACAGACACACACATGTTGGATCGCCCGTCATCTATCTTACTCTTTCGTTTCATAATGATCTCCCCGCCCCTCCTTAAACCTTAACTCACACTCTCCCAACTTCACGGGAAACCCGTAAAAAGGAACGAAACAAATACAAAACCAACCTCAACCCCAACATCTCCCCCCCCTCCAATCCATTTATCGTATTCATCCACATATCTATCCGCCGGTCGGTCCGCCCATCCATCGCCGGACCATTTTCCAAAACCAATAATAATAAAAAATTCAACAACAACCATAGTTAATTTTTTTTGTTTTAAGAAAAAAATGTTCACAAGACGAGATAAGAAGGTAAATTAAACTAATGAGAAATCCCATTTACCCTCAGGAAGGAAAAGAAGGGAAAGAAGAAAAAGAAAGAGCGCAATATTTACTCCTCCTTGGCACCACCCCGACCGGACCTCTCGGCCTCGTCAATGCTCTTCTTGTCGGATACGACGTCACCACCTTGCATTCCCGGCATCATCCCTCCAGCCTTCCATGGTCTCTTAAGGTCCCCGCTGGCGGCCTTTCCAAAGACGTGGATCTGGACGAGCTTGGATTCGAAGGCAGTTTTGAGGGGAATGATGCCTTTTTCCGTTAGAATCACCCACCAAAAAAGTGGAAATGGAGGGAGTGTAATTACTCTGGACAAGCAATGGGTTAGTGTACTTCATGTAGAGATGCATGACACCCATCATTCCAACGCCCATCAAAAGACTCTTGAAAGCCGCCTTGAGCTGATCGCGGTCGTAGGCCGCGATGGTAGTTGTCACAAGCTTCGGTTGATCACCGGAGAGTGGCTGAGCGGGTTCGAGGTACTTCATGGTTGTGTTGTCTATCCAAAGTCAGCAACGCCGTCCCCCCAAATTGATATCGAGACTCCTTCTTTTTTCTATTCCATCCTCTTACTTACCATTCTTCTTATTGATCTGGCCGCTAACGTACACGTACAGCGACAAGATGATAACGTTGGAAAGAACGTACATCGCCCTCACGCCATTCAGGACATTCGGATCCTCGAACGGGACCTTCTTCGCGACTTGCATCATACCCAGAATGATCACAATATTGGCACTATGTCACATCATCCATTAGCCATCTTCCCCTTTTCATCCGTTTTAGAGCAAAATAAAAGTTAAAAATTAAAAATTAAAAATAAAATTAAAAAAAAGGTATATCACATTTGTGGATTCATTTTGTCGCTGGTGAAAAAACTATTTTGCTCCGGAAAGGAAAAAAAAAGAAAAAGTTACCGAGCGAGCGAGTATTGGGGGGGGAGGAAGGAAGGAAGGAAGGAAGGAAGGAAGAAAAGAAGTCAACGTTGACCAGGGTAATGCCCGGGGGAGAGAGAGAGGGAGAAGGAGAAGGGAACGTGAGGGTAGATGAGCTGAGTAGATGGATGGACGCGCGATGTGATACCAGCGATGAGGGGAGTTGAAATTATTATTTTTTTACCCTCCCTCATTGAGGTGTTGACTTAAAGGGTGAGTTGGAAAAGGACACGTTTGTGGGTGGCTGCGGGTTGGGGTGGCTAGTGGGTTACCCGGAGTTTGTGGCGGTGGTGGCTGTTAAAACTTACTCAACGTGGACGAGTAATGTCGGTTTAGTCAGCGGATCGGATTTTCGTGACCTTAGCTATTAGACTAGCAATTATAGGTGAGGAGGATACGAAAAGTTATCCTTTCGAGAAGATGGTAGACTCACGAGTCTAAATGAGGTATTAGTAACACGGCCAAACAACGAAGGTGATGGATCAACCTGACCCGGGAACATTGGCCTCGTCATTCCTTATCATAACACGGGCGCGCAGTTCCCCGAGGAACCGGAACATATTATATTTTTTTCTTTCTCAGAGCGCGAGGTATACCATAAGCCCCTTCCGAGGGAAGGTGTATCACAGTCATACCCGACCAACTCCGGCCGTACAGTACATGTGAGCGAGTGAGAATACATGAACTTCAAGTACAGTACAGTACATCATATTATTATCATACTCACTTATATATTTTAGCCAGCCAAACTTGAAAAAAGGTTACAAGTTGTATGTATGCTACTTCGAAACCTCCATAATTAATCGATCAATTGCCCACCTCAATATCAGCGCCACGCCAGTGGAAGCGAACGACTTGTACTCCAGTAGTGGTGCCGGCGCTTAATAAGTTATGATATAATACAAAGTTCCATGCCGAGGTGGAAAGTACTCGGGGGTATACGAAAGTGATTAACATTTTGTGGTGTGGGGTGGTGTCATGTGACAGAAGCGGTTATGTATAGTAACTTTGGGGATACCGGATCGCCTATCTTTACTGAAATCAAAGGTCCATCCCTGACCTCTATCTATAAAGAGGCAACCGCTCCACCACACGTAATTAGCCTGTATGAATTGCATTTACTTCTCATAAGTGCTATTCTCAAGACAGTTAAAAGTAAGTACCGTAAAAACCGAAATAGAAGAGAAATGTGCTTTGAGGTTGTATTAAGGTGAGTCATGCCAAGAAGCTAGGATGGTCACATCAGTGTAAATTATGAAATATGAGACATATAGAATTTAAAAATACATTCTGATTTTTCAATCAGTTTTACCAAGGACATATTCTCCATCTAGCTCATCATTTGTAATATTCAACTCTGTTGAATTGTCTCCTTCTCCATTCTCCTCACCATCTTCTTCAACAGCCCCCCCAGCCACCATTACCCCATCTGCCCAGTCCTTTACCCCTTCCATGAACAAGGAAGTCGAAAGACCCTTGATGGAAATTTCAGAATCTCTACTTCCGTCAATAGGAAGAGAGAGACCTACAGCGGTGAAAGCTCTTTCAACCACATGGGAATGGTTCATCGTGAACCTTTCCCAGGCTTCACCGACCACCCAGGTGCAGAGAACCCTCAGCCATCCTACCATGCTCCCCGATAGCTGACCTCCCCCCAACAGAATCTGCTCCTCCTCCATCTCTACCTCATCAAACTTTTCTTCGAGGATTTCCTAGTTTGAGATTTAGTTAGTAACTGGATCAATAAGTATTCCCCTCCCTGAATTTTAGTGATTGACTTTGATGATATTAACCTTCAGAATATCCTTAAAGGGCCGGTTAATCGATATATTGAGGGGCTAAACCATGCTGGTACAGCCTCCGGGTATCACACTAAGTGTGATGTCGTGGGCTTGCATGGTATTCAAAACCTCATCGGTTTTGTGACTACCAAACATGTCGAGCACCATAAGAGTTGGCCGTCCACCCAGCATGGTTATGACCTGCTTGTCAAGTCATTCAACAACATTAGTTGAATTGGTATATGCCTTTGAGTTGAACTTAACAACAACCCAAGGGTCATAGAGGGCTTTTTCAGCCATGATAGTGTTGCCTACCCCCTGCCCGCGGAAAAATATCAGGGGCTTAACACGAGGTACAGCATCAGCGAAAACTGTAAGTTGAATAGTTGCCAGTCACTTGTTCCAACCAGACTGCTGACTGCCCTGTACCCATATCATTTATTCACCCTGCTGATTATAGGTCCGGCCACTGAGATACTCGAAGGGCAGTGGAGTTTGGTCCATGTTACAGATGTTGCTCAAACTGTAACGACCAATCTCTGCTAGGGTATCGGGAAGGTCAGTAGGGTTTTTTGGTCGTAGTTGTGAGTTTCTTCGATTGAATTTTATCCAATTTACTAATACTTCAATATAGTCTACCAGCAACTGGCTAGCCTTATTGGTTATTGTACGGTTATTGTACGAAGAGTTATCCTATGCCAAGATAAGAAACCCCGAAACCATCTATTTGGAAAGCAGAATTGGCTGACTATAGTTTCTGAATAGGTTTTGGCAAAGAGTCGCTTCACATTTTGGCGAAACCAACTACGGTGTATGACCTTTCCCTCTGCTCGGCGCTGTCAGAAGGCATCATATAACTTTCTCTCCATATCCACACATTTTCTTCTTCTTCCTCCTTCTCCCAATCTACGAGCCGTTGCTGACGCCTCTAGGAAATTCCCAGCTAGTTCCTCCTTCTGCCATCGTCCAATATTCCCGAGTGGAATTTTAAATCGTACTGCCACTTCCTTCAATGTGGGCTGCCAGAACTTAGTTGGCCCAGAGGGATCGAGGCTATCTGTAGCCAAGATAGTACTCGCAACTTATAGTTGATTGTCTAGGACTTTCGAGAATGCTGTACCATTTGTGAAGCTGTTCGGGGTCTTACTCTCAACAGTTTTCGCTTTAGTCCTGGCTTCTGTTTTGGCGGGGTATCGAACTTACCGGGTGCAATCTCTGGGAGGACAACAGAAACCTTGGAGCGCGCACACTGCCCTTATTTCGCTCACTTCGTCGAGCCATTTAGTGTAATGATATTTAAGAGGTAATCGATTATGTTGTTTGAGTTATCACTATTGGAAGTATTGCACTTGTATTTAATTTTCATGTAAGAGTAGTACAGTATCTACTTCGTTTATATTTATTTACATTCTTAATGACTCCTATGATGTTAATTAATTGTCTATTATACTGCCAGTAATGATATTGTGACTCAAAACGCGTTGACATAAGGTTGGAATTAAAGGTCAAAGCAGATATTTCAAACCAGTCATAACCTCACTGATTGCGACATTGCCCCTTTTTTTACCAGCTAAGCTTATTTCAACCGCTTAGCATAGTTCTCTTCTATTTCAGTTTTTACGGTACTGTGTCAGTAATTTCTCTGTTCTTATTCAGGCTTTATATGTGGGAGAGACTTTTTATACTGACAAGTTTAATATTCAGATACAACTACTCCGTGATACCAATTCTGTAACCATGAAAACCTGTAGTACCTGTAGCGACTACCAGTATAACATATACCGAAAAGAAACCACCTGCAATAAACTGCTGTGCATAGTGACTCTCTGTGATCACTTAACTAAAAAAGGTATCTCTACACCATAGAAAGAAATGTAATGATCCCTTCTTGGATAGTTAATTCTTGGCGACGAGGAACGATACTTCTCTTCTTCTATTTCCTTCCTTAGTCTTACGATAGCACTAGGCCTCTGCCTACGTTACTGATAGTACAAGACCTTTGTCTTCTATCGAGAACTCCTATCGTAAGCTTTCTCTAACTCTTCTTCATGAAGAACTTTCCTTAGCGTAACCATAACGTTGCAGATAAAGATAAAGATCGTAAAGGTGTTTTATATTCGTTAAAGTAATAAGTAGGAAAAGTACTTAGAATTCAATCTAATTTTATTTATACTTGTACTGCCAACACCGGCATACAACCAGTCTCACTCACGCCCTATAAATCAAACTATGTAAAACACATTACCACGGACCATTCCGCCTCGCAACCACTCCTCCCAAACATAAATCCAAAAATCACTATCTATGTAGGCTCATGGGCGCTCATCATAGCTAGCGTCACCCCGGATTTACGTGTCTTCCCACCCTGCTGCCCAACCATCATCTCATACCCTCACCCCTATCCACCTCCAATACAATCAATCCCACATATTCAATATAGGAAACATACAGTCTATCCTAACATCCCTCCGTCCTCTTATAATATAGTCCTGGGTCTAAGTACCCCTCAGCCAGAACCATTCCACAAAATAAACAATGCTCTTCTTTTAACAACCCATTTGACTTTGCCCAACGCAAAACTACTGATGTTCGAGTCACGAGGTCCAGCTCATCCTATTGTTGGTACCGTGAATACCAAAACTGATCGTGACATATCTGTAAACAGCGGGGCTTCTTCTCAAAGTGTTCGGGAAAGGTGACTCGCTTCTGGGTGGTCGCTGCACAAATCGCAGTCCCACAACAGGGACAGTCGCATCGTCATTGGTCGGGCAAAAAGAACCACTTTTTTTGGCATAGTTATCAATCCCAGCAGAACACATCCACTGCCATTGTGTTTCTTCTCGCATCGGGTGCAGATCATGGGATCCCCTACCGTTGCCAACCGGCCACTTCTCTCCACCATCAGTGTGCTGTCAAAGGGGTTACCTGCCACTACCAACTCCCCGTCCACCATTTCAACATGCTGGGGAATTCCTAGGCCTAACCACCTGTGACTCACCCACTAGGACTTCCACTGCAATATCGCTGAATCCTTGTATAAGTCCTCATTAGCAGGGCATCCTATAGCATAACAGGGGCACTCCATCTAGTGGTGTCTGTTATCCTTCCCCTCCCCACTGTCGTGACCGACCAAGCCCGTCCCGCTGCGAATCCTCAGCAGAATGTAGGAATACATGCAGGTGAGACCACGAAGATGCTGAGGTGCCCTAGGTTCATAAGCATAATATCCATGTCCCTCCCTGTTATGCCAGGAACCATACTCTTCTTTTTGCAACTCGCGGGCCAAGGCCGCATGCCCGATCCCAAAGCTAACCCCTTTCCAAAGCAGAGGGTGCAATGGACGACCCACACAGGCCTTAGCTTTTTGGTCTACCATCTCATTGCCGTTAATGCCCATGTGTCCCAGAATCCAGCTAAGGTTG